TTAATTTTACTTGATTACTCCCGTGCCTTTGACACTTTGAATCATCAAATATTCCTTACAATTTTACACTACCTATGTAGGTTTTAATGCTACTGCTATTAATTTAATGAACTCAGTTCTTTCAGATAGAGAACAAAAGGTAAAAATCGAAAATGATTTTCCGAAGAGTTTGCAAGTATTGATGGGTGTACCACAGGGAAGTATTTTAGGCTCCCTGCTATACACCATGTACATGTAAGAATTTTAAATTCGTTAGCGTCGGATTGATGGTATTTAGTCGAAGCATCTGTACCGGACCAAGTACCTGCCTGTCAACTGAGTGACGGCGAAGACATTAAGATGTCTTATTTATTGTAGCAATAAGAACTATATTTGTTATGTTGGGATTATGTATCAATTTCCTAAGGCGATGTGGCCTGAAAAATAAGGGAGGCACTTATAGTTCCGCTGTCTAAACGGAATGTCGATTATACTTGTGTTTAATTTTGGAAAAAGATTAATTTGATGAAAATATCGTGTTTTCACTCACTAAAAGTACCATGGAAGAATTTGTAAAAATTCTGTGTGAAATTTTAAAGTTAATTAAAGATGAAACGGCTAGAAGGGTAGTGTCAACTTCAGTGTATTGTTACGCAGCACCCTGCAGTAGCCTTCGGCTGTTGTAGGAAACGTACGAATAGAAAAAGAAGTGGAATGCTATTCATCGCCCTACAGTGTGCTGGAGTGCGTTTAGAAACCCCGCACGGCGCGTCTGACCACATGCATTAGAATAGGGCTCAGACGCGTCGTGCGGGGTTTCTAAACGCACTCCTGCGGTCGTCATAAGTAAAAGAAGATAGAATGGTCCAGAAATGTCGTAACCCGTCAAGGGTATTCTGGACAACAGTTTGAGAAGGTTCGAGAAGCTCAAGCAAGCTATGGGGATAGTCCTGACGTCGGTTTTTAGTTTAATGATAGACGTTATACGTTAGTGTTATCAGTTGGATAGTTATTGTTGAATTGAGTTATTATAAAGTTGAGTTGCAATAAATTGAGATACCAAAAACTAGTGTAACATTGGTGACAACGGGGGATACAAAGTAGAAGTTCATGGTAAATACTAGATCCACTGAATACGACACAGGCATAGATACTTCAGGTCCCCCAGCATCGTTTTTGAAGATGGAGGTGGAAAAGGAAAGGCGTAGGAAGGAAGAAGAGGAGGTAAAGGAAAGGCGTAGGAAGGAAGAAGAGGAGGTAAAGGAAAGGCGTAGGAAGGAAGAAGAGGAGGAAAAGGAAAGGCGTAAGAAGGAAGAAGAGGGGGAAAAGGAAAGACGTAGGAAGGAAGAAGAGTAGGAAAAGGAAAGGCGTAGGAAGGTGGAAAAAGAAAGGCGTAGGAAACCTGAGGTAAAAATTATGAATGGTTTGCTGCAAATTCAAAATAACCTTAAGCAAGAGGTAGGTCAGCTAAACAGCCGAGTAGACCTCTTAACACAACAACAAGATAATTTTAAAGCCAATTTAGAACAGCAGCAAGAGAATCTACAAACCAATTTGCAGAACCTAAAAACGAATTTAGAACAACAAGATAATTTAAAAACTAATTTAGAGCAACAACAACAGAATATAAAGACTAATTTAGAACATCAACAAGAACAGAGGCTGGAGTAGAGCTGAAATGGCCGAGTTAGAGAGCCAAGTCCGCAAGCAACATTCAAGCTAAAAAAACTACCTCATTCTCATCTGTAACCGACCCAAGCCGTATTGAAACCCCAGTCTCACAAAACCTTAGTAGCAAGACCCTGAAACCACCCACGTTTGACGGTCAGACAACATGGGAAACATATCGACTCCAATTTGAAGCTGCAGCTAGAGCCAATGGCTGGGCCGAGAAAGAGATGGCGGCTTTATTGATAGTGTCATTGCGAGGTCAGACAGCAACCATTTTACAGTTACTTCCCCAAGAAGAACCCAGTTATTCATCTCTTGTCCAAGCTTTGGAGACAAGATATGGCCTCTAAAACAGGTATTCCAAAGCCAGCTAAAAGTTCGTAGTCAGAAACACAATGAGAGTATACAAGAATTTGAAGCAGATATTAAAATATTGTTGCATCTGACCTATCCACAGGCACCTAAAGATTTCTTAGAACAAATCAGCATACAAGCATTCATTGATGGGCTACAGGACGTGAAAATGCAGCAAGTCCTACGTCTACAACATCACAAGACGCTGAGGGAGAAACTGATTGCAGCCCAGGAATATGAAGCGGTAAAACTCCTATCCAGATCTTCTCGCGCGAAAGTAAGGGAAATTAAATCCCAGGAAAGTGAGGAGGCCAATACTAATGCTATTCCCCAAATCTTAAATATCCTACGAAATATGCAACGAAACAGCTAAAATGAAAGCAGGAGATGCTTCAATTGCAGAAAAGTTGGGCATCTTCAAAGAACGTGTAGAAGCATGGCTCATTCTATAAATCGAGAATCAGCGAATGAGACCGGAAAATTATATAGATCAATCTGTCCAAGGCCATCACTAAGACCAACAAGAATTAATTACAGCAGCTATGCGTCCCGAAGAACCCAATCACCCACACCGAGCCGGCTTTCTAACAATACCCCGGAAGTAGAGCATCGAAGAGATCTCCATAGCAACGCAGACATTATCTTCGGGCAACCCCGTTTAGAGGAACAATGCTGGTATGGTAAAAGGCTCGAAGAACGAGAAGAACCGGTTGATAAAGTTACTCTTCGGGCAACCATTATCGAGCCAAAGGGCGACGAAGAAGAAATCACCCTTGAAAGTCTGAGACAGGGACAGAAGAAAGACAATGACTTAAATGTTTTCCGAAAACGGCTCAAAAATAAGTCACACCTACTTGGCAAGAGATAGCCAAATACAGTAGAACTATAAAAGGCTACTGGACCCAGTGGGATTCCCTGTATCTTCACGATGGCCTATTGTACTGGAAGTGGGAGAGCCCCGATGGAGTACATGTAGTCCGCCAAGTGATACTGCTGAGGTCAAAGGTGAGAAATGTATTGGAGGAGCTTCATAGCAGCCGTTCAGGAGGACACTTTGATACTAAAAGGACACTGCACGATTTCGGGAAAGATTTTATTGGGTCAATTGCCGACGGAATGTAGCGGATTGGTGTAAAAAATGTGATATATGCAATGGCAGGACAAAGGTCTATGTATTCGCTCGGGAACGACTGAAATCCCGTACCGATAAAGCAGAAGCTAGAATCGACAGACGTGCCACAGATACACGTTTTAAGAGGAGCGACAAGGTATGGCTTTGCAATCCTAAGCAGCGAGGAGGATTTCGTCAGAAATCGCAACGGAACTGGGAAGGCCCCTACTCCGTCCTTAAGGAAAATCAACGTCCTGATCTAATATTATCAGTTGGATAGTTATTGTTGAATTGAGTTATTGTAAATTTAAGTTGCAATAAATTGAGATACTAAAAACCAGTGTAACAGTACATTTCGACATTATGATAGTAGGAGAGGTTTTTCGGGTTTTCCTCGCACCATCAATCATATTTAAGTCTGCCCGGAGGCATATTTCTACATGCTACTCGTGATCACGAATCGGGTTGTGACGAGCATCGGGTTTTAAACTCCACTTGCGATCGCAAAATACCAGCGCTACATGCCACTCGTAATCTCAAATAAACCTCCAAGCTAATATTAGTAATCTTTATTTTGCACTTGTATTATTATTAATTTTAATTAAATATTGCCTTACTGTAAATAAATGGTGTACTTTCCTATAAATTACCTTCACCTACAATAATAGTTGCAACCACAAAAAGACATTAAACATTTAACTAGCACTAAGAATTTCAAATATACTCCCTTAAGAGCGTTCTATCGTTGCAAAGAAAATCGTAGTTGCATCTCTCCTCCACTTTCAGACCAAATCGGAGGGCTGGTCCGTTCCCAAACTGCTGACACTATTTACGTCATGAATAATGTCTCATGATTCTGTCTAGGGTAGCAATTTCTCTTTTACTTGTATTAGTGCGTACGTCTCTTACAAATCGTATGCTTATAGACCGTAAATTTGATACAGAAGCCGTAACCGTAGAACATTTTTAATGTGAAAGGTTTATTGATATTATTTAGACTTAAAAGTAATTTAGCTTTGTTCCCGAAGCCTGCCGACAAGTACACGATTCAATTATCCAATAATTATTTTTGTAAGAAAATAGAAAAATTGTAATTGCATTGATGTTTATAAAAAATGCAATTTTTAAGCCGATTTGTATATACAACAGTTTTTAATTGTTGTTTAATTTATTATTCGGACATTCCGTTTTATAATTTATTGTATTGTTCCATTATAATATGGAAACTAAAAAAAAAAAATAAAGTTTTATCCTTCAGGGCATGCCCAGGCGAAATTAAATAGTGGAATTTTTGTCAAGATTATATTTGGCATTTTAAATTAAATTAGTATTTAATTTAAGTTACCTAATTTTTCTGGTACATTAATTTTTTTTTTTTAAAGTGTATTGCTTATTTATTATCTAATTAATTATAACATCATGAAATCCTAAAAATATTATTTCTGAAAATCTTTATGATAAAAAAGTACTGGTTACTATTAATTTCAAACATGTGACTGACTAATAATTTATAGGAAAGTTTTATACTAGTAATGCGCCGATGATTATGGTGAAAATTACAATGTTATTAGGAGTTTCTAAGAGTATTTAAAAATCTGCATAAAATAACTAAAATTAATTTAAACTAAAACTGGTTGTCCAAACAATATGACAAAGATCAAAACAATAGAAAATAAAAATTAAAGGACACCTCAATTTTCTTACGAGTATTGTTTATTAAACGGAATTCACTATAATTAAATAAAATTAAAAAAATCACTTTACAATATTCTAGATACAATTTGAATTCCATTTTATGAAAATATGCAAATACGTATACAAAAAATAATTCAAGTAAAATTAGTTTTTCAAAATATGTTTATTAATAATTATTAAAAAAATACAATTATTGTATTAGAAATCTCGAGTTGGGTTTCTTATTTCCATTTTCCGTGGATACCGTCCATCGAGAATTTCTGACAATAGACACGTATAATAAAAACCTTCCAAGTTTTTTTACCATTCGTTCTTCCCAAAATGTTTCATCCCTTGAAATCTGTAATAAACATAACATTAAAAATTTAATATATTTAATGGACAAATACACCGCATACCTTTTCTACCACCATTCCCAATGGTGTCCATACCACAAAATAACAAAATCTCCGCTTTGTTATATTTAACAGACCTTGGACTTGGTAAAAGTAATTATGTGTTTTTTTTTTAATTTTATCAAATTATTTTCATCAACCGTACAAAAATTTATAACTTTTTTTTTGGTGGCTTCTAGAGGATGAAGTTTTGATGCAGTTTTCGGGCATTTAATTTCTATAACTTCATCTTCACCAATGAATTCATCTAGACTAGCTCCTAAATCTGGCATATTTTCATGTACAATCAAGCCGCATGCCTTCACCTAAAGTTTTTAAAATTTTTATTACGAGATAACAATTAACAAATGTACAATGAACTAAAGATGATATCAAAAAATGCTTGAAACCGTTTCTAGGATACGAAGGGAGAACTTACCTTTACATTAAATTCTAATTCAAATTGTGTAATTGCAAGTGACTTCAGAGACATTTCCAAAGTATTTCTAAAAATATTAATATAATCAGAATAAGTTATAAAATTATTATGTGTACAGATGTAAATAATTGAAAATTAAATAAATTTACTTTTGAAAATTATCTGTTTCATCTTCCATTACATCTAAATGGGGTGAATCAACTAATTCAGACAGCACAGTAGGTTCTTCATTTACATTGGGATCCAGTTCAGGTGATATTGGGACATCATTTTCAACATAAGGAACATTTTCTCTTCCTTTAAGTATACCACTGCAGACAAAACAGAAGTTTTAACAACACAAATAATATATTTTTCGACACCCACATGGCTGTCATGAAATTTAAGGCTTTTAAGGCTCCTTGATAAAACAGCGCAAGATAAAATTGCCTAGAACAAAATAGCTAAGACAAAACAACGCAAGAAAAAATAGCGCAAAGACAAAATAGCGTCAGACAAAAAAGTGTAAGAACAAAATAGCGCAGAACAAAATAATGCAGGTTATAAAAGTGCGTGAAAAAATATTCCAGAATTCTAAATAAAATTCAAAACAAGAAAAATTAACTTATGTACCAGCCTGGCGGCGGCCTAAAGTCGTCGCGAATTGGTTTGCAGAACAAATATACATAAAATAGGAAAAATAAAAACCTTAACTAATGTATCTAATCTGTGAGGATTGGTTTGCATAAAAATTATACATAAAATTAGAAAAATAAAAAACTTAACTAAGTTATCTAACCTGTGCGGCCTGGAGCCATTAAAATTTTGGTTTATTATACATAAAATAAGAAAAATAAAAAACTGTACTGCCTGGAGCCACATAAAGCATCCTACAATGGCCCCAGGCCGCACAAGTTAGGTAAATTAATTAAGTTTTTTTTTTTAATTTTAATTAGAACATTGGAATATTTTGTAACGCGTTAATTTGTTTCTTTCCTTTTTTTGAAGAAACGCCAACTTGACTTACTATAATCTGATCAGGCGTTAATTGGTCTCACTTTATATCTCTTATGTATTTGTCTCGGCGCAAATTTGTGGCAAAAAATTTGCTGTGCGTGAAATTGTTTCGCGCTAAAATGGATCGGATCCTTATATGTGAGAGAGACGGAGCTACACTTTAAAAACTCACTGCATAGGCGTTGTCGGAACACTATTTGGTACGCATTATATCAATGAATTACATTAATTAAAAAAACATATATTGTTTGTTACGCGCTATTTTGTGCTTTAGCTATTTTGTACTGTGCTATTTAATCTGCGCTATATTATCCAGCGCTATTTTGTCATAGAGTCGCGTTTTAGAAGTTTATGAAAGAAACAATTTGTAATAAGAATAAGTATGAATTTTTGAAATAAGGATTTAAAAAATGTTTACGATTTTTATTATATACACTTATTCTTTAATGTTCAATATTAATGAAACGTCATGTATTAGGGTATCTCTAGTATATGCTAAATTTAAATACTTAGCATATACTTAGAACGTACTATCAAATGTAAGTAGATACTTATTGCATACTGTACACATACTTGAAGTATCTGCATAGCACGTATAAACAGCGTCACGTAACATATACTTAGTATATTCTGAGAATGTATTAAATGCATATAAAGTATATTATCAGTACATGCATATTCTTAAAAATTATATACTAAGAATATGCTAAGCATGTATAATTGTTATCTGGGCAAGGAATGGTATTCGACGTGAAAATCACTACAAAACAGAAAGATTTAAAGTCCTAGGTATCTAGCAGTTATCTACCTTAAGTGAAAAACTACGCAAAGCTAATAGAGAGTTAAAGCAACGCTAGATATGTATGCTTATCTCCCTGACGTAAACGTAGGAATTAGGTCTTTTCCTTTGCATCGAAGCTACACCACTTCTGAAAATATCGTTCCATTTATACAAATTGTATGGATGGAACGATATTTTCAGAAATGGCGTAGCCAAAAGCAGTTTTATTTAAAGAAAGTTATGAAAAAAGTGATATCCATAAACAAAATACTTATTATCCTTTTAATTAACAAGAAAATTATATTGATAACTCTTTATGTCAAAATATTGATTAAAAAAAATATAATTGACACAACTTTTAATTTTTCATAATTGACACAAAGTTATATTCTCAATTCTGTTGACACTGACCGCAATGCTCAAACTATCGATTGCTATATAAATCAAGACATTACTAGCACACTAGCCCGCACCAACCATGGTATGACAACTCTGGATAACTGACCACAGTAATCCTAAAATAAATGCATACACTGACCGCAATGTACTACGCCAGAACAGACAATATAACTCACTTTACTTTTGATTACACCTCGTAGAGGAAAACAAACTATAAGTAAATAGTCAAATAAGTTTTAATTATTTAATATAACCCCGTTAATTTGGGATATAAGGTTCTCTCAATACTTAACAAAATATCTTTACGTCAGAATTGACCAATTAACTATAAAATATTGATAGATAATAATTGGGTAATATAATTTGTAAAATAACTTGATTACAAATTAAAACAAAACTAAATGAACATAATTACTCAGTGAGAAAAACTATTCAGCAAACAGCCACTCACAAAAATTAAAATTATTCACTTTGAACGAACTTTAATTTTGTTCCGCAGAGGAACTAACTCAAATTTTAAATGATCTGTATTCTATGCTTGCTTAAGATTTTACCCTTAGCTCGCATATTCGTAATCCGATATCTTAATAGTGTTAACATAAACATAGGCTGTGACTGTTTTGGAAGACAAATATTTCGTGCGTTTAGAAACCGAGTCTTTCGTAAAATAATATTAAATTTGTATAAAAAATAAAATCATTTTTAAATTTCTCTGCTCACCTACTTATTCCACGATACATTCGACTTACTCTGAACATTTAACTAAATCTACTGCACCCGGCTTTAAATTTAGATTAGCTACACAGTTTTAGAAGCAATTTTGTGTTTTATTTTTATTTTGTCAATATAGATTTTTTATACAACCCCAAGGTTTTGAAATCGAGATTCAACAACTTTAAGATATTTTCAAGCCCGTAACGATTGAGCAGGGGGGCAATTGTCCTCCCTGTCTCCCCTTGCCTAAGCCTATGACTATACCGAGCAAAAGCCCATACAGCACAAACACATTTCAGAAATATTTCAAAAATATTACATTGAAATATTTGTAATGTATTAATATTACAAAACATCCCAGAAACATTTCTGAAATGTGCCTGAAACGTAAACGTGGCCCCTAAATATAATATTTCACAGTAATATTTCTGAAATAAAAAATTGAAATATTTTAGAAATATTAAATAATATTTCAAAAATCTATTCTAGCTTTTTTTCTAAAATATTATTAGACTAAAAAAAAGACATTTATAAATATACAATAATATACATGTTTATTTAAAATACACAAAATCAAACATTGATTCTCAAACAAACAAATAATTAATTTTTAAACATTATTTCATAAAATTTTAAATTAAATCGCCTAATTTCCACAAATTCCTTTAAATGCACTTATCTGAAACAAATAGTTTTTTTTTTAATAAATGCTCCAAAGAAGAAACATTTATGATTCTTACAATCTGATCATTATGATCAATTAGCAATTTTATTCTAATCTAACTTATCAAGGAACGAAAAATTTCATAAACTAATATTCTACTCACTAGTATACTTTAGAGTCTAATTATTTACACTACCGATAAAGTATAACACTTAATTGCACTATACTCTGCTTTAACATCACTGAACTAACTCAAAAGGCTTGGTTCTCTTGAGTCTTCTTATTAGATTGGAATTGTTGAGCTGGATAATCTCAAGGTTTCCATGTTGGAGCAGTCGTTGTTGGTGACTGCTGGCAAATTTTTGGGGTCCATAACACTTTAGTGTCACAAAAAGTAAGCCATTTAGAAAAAAAATAGAACTATTTTGAATGTGGTAGAGACTAATTCTTTACAAAAAAGTGCGGATTTTTTCAAAATATAACCATTTTTTTCTAACCTCATTTTTTTTATTTTTTGGAACATGAGTTAATTGTACGCCTAGTTCAGGTACGAGTTTTGTAAAAAATTTGTCAACACCCAAAAATAACTAGTTTCTATAGTAAATTTTCGCAAAAAAAATATAGAAAACCAGCATTTTTCGAGAAAAAAATATAATGAAAAATTTAAGTGATCTAAAACCATATATTTTGTTTGGAAAAATGCAGTATGTTTACCTATAGGGAAACATCTTAAAAAAAAATATTTTTCGTCATGAAATGTACCACCCCAAACATTTTTTTCCATATTTACACAAGAAAACATCGCTAACAAAAAATTGTATATATTTGTTTTACTTGAAATATAAAAATAATTAAAAAAAATTACGTAACCGAACCCATGTAAAAAATGAATTGAATGTCGCCTGAAATGAAAATATAATTTTGAAAAAAATTCGCTTCCCGGCCAACTGACACAGATCAAAGAATATACATTCTTGCTTCTCAGCTTAATATCACTACTTCTACCAAACAAACCTAAGTTGATTGTTGCAGTAACCACAACATAAAATTTAGGAATATTTATTGATTTAAAATACATATTTTTCTGCAATATGCTCACAAATATTGGTAAATATATCTTTAGTAACTGTGCTGTATATTTCGTACCACATAAATAGTCTTTAATAAATAATCAATAAAACACTTAAAACCTATGTAAAATATAAAAAACGAATAAAATTGCGATAAATAAAATCAAATTCTTGACAAACGCACAAAAGAGCATCCGCGAATCGAAATTGCTACGCTTCTATCAAGTAAT